TTACCCATACTGGTCTCCACAATCTTGTAGAATGTCCTGTCACACCATAAAGCTTCTGTATGGCTTCCGGTACTCCTTCGTGATCTAACACCTTGATGCTCACAAGGGTTTGCTGAGACACAGAATCTATGACAAAGTTGTACCTTTGGCCATCCAGCTTTCCTGTCACATAGACGCTGTGTGTGCTGGGCATTTTACATCTAGCTGTAGGGACTTTCATGATGGGGGTTGGTGAGTGTCCCTCAACACCAACCACTACTGGTCTTTTTGAGGCTGACTTGTTTGTAATATTCCTCCTACACTGGCTCCTCAAATGTCCGTGCTTTCCACAGTTCCAACAACCTTTCTGGATACCAGCCTTTCCTACTGTGGCATCTCCCCTGTGTTGAAGTTGCCAACATTGAGCTCTCTTGTGCCCAGGTTTGTTACAGTGCCAGCAAAGTCCCTCAAACTTCTCTGAAAGCTGACCTTTTCTGGCCTTGAATCCAAATGACTGTACCAACCTCGGTACCTCTGTGCTGGACTTAACATAGAATTCAAAATCGAGAGCTCTGGCCATTGCAACCTGCATGGTAGAGGGGTGTGCTTGCTTCACTTGTATCTTAAGTTCTGGACTGTCCAAGGCATCTATGAACTGATTCCTCAGCAACAACTTGAGGAGATCGGGTGGTGCAGTTGGGTAGGCCTTGTGTTCCATGCTTTCCAAGTCCTGTGCCAGCTCTTGCAGGCTCTCCCCTTTAGCACAGACTCTAGTTCTGAACCTGGCCCTGTAGACTTCTGACTGATTCTGGGTTCCGTACCTGAGTTCCAGAGCCTCTACCAGTGCTCTATAGTTGTGCCTGTCATCTGCTGACAACTATCCAAGTATTTCCAGTGGTTGTCCTTTCAAGCTTTTTGCCAGATATACTGCTTTCTGCTCCTCTGTCCATCCATTCATCTCTGCCAGTAGCTCAAATTGTGCTCTATATGCTTCCAACGGAGCTTTCCCATCGTCTTCCTGTGGCTTCCTTCTTACTGAATCTCTCCTATTACTGACATTCATATCTGGGATGTGACTTCTAATAGGGCTGAAGATGTCTGCATTAGGGTTTAGCTGTGGGGTCTGTGAACATAATTTATAAAATAATTTTAAATGCTGGCTGCCCCAGTTCGAGCAAAGTCTAAAATTGCAAAAATCACCCAAACAGTTTCTGATACATGTGTGGAAAATGTATTATAGTTTCACGAAGGAAAAAAATAACACACAAAGTAAAGGTAGCTTACTACCACTACTTCGGGTGTGACCAAGAAAAACATTGGGCTTCACATGTGTATTGTACAGTTTGTACATCTGGCTTGACTCAGTGACTGAATAAGAAGAGAGTAAGTATGCCATTTGCACTTCCTATGATATGGCGTGAGCCCAAAGATCATCTAACTGACTATTAATTTTACATGACTAATGTTTCTGGATATTTATGCAAAATATATAATACATTACATATCTAGATATTGCATCTGCATTGAAACCAGTACCTCATGGGGATGGTCTCCCAGTGCCACAGTCATCAGCGGAAACAGAAGAGTTATCTGCGAAGAAGACAATGAATCATCTTCATCCTCTTCATCTAGTAATTCTGTACCTGTGGCACCTCAACATAAACTGCCTCATCTGATCACACAATAACAGCTAAATGATTTGATTTACGACTTGTCTCCATCAAAGCAGCATGGGAACTTCTTGGCTCTCGTTTACAGCAATGGAATTTATTAGCTCCAGGAACAAGAGTATCAGCTTAATGAAGTCGTCATAAAAATATTACTTCTCACTACAGCATGCAAGATAATTTATTTTTCTGTACAAATGTTGATGATTAATGGAAGAATTAGGTACTGAACATCATCTTCTAGAATGGAGACTCATCTAAAATTCATCTGAAAACTGTACTTTTGCACAATGGGAACACTAAGCCATCAATTCCTGTTGCTCATGCTGTGAAAATGAAAGAACCTTATCAAAGCATGCAGATTATTCTTGGGGCCATCAAATATGATATCACCATAGCTGTAACATATGTAGTAATCTAAAAGTTATTGCACCCCTGCAAGGTCTGCGCAGTCGGTATACCAAACATTGTTGCTTTTTGTGTTTCTGGGACAGCCGAAATGACAAAAATCATTTAAAAAGGGAATTGCAAGTGAGAGAGAGAATTACACACTATAGGAACTAAATATCGAGTTTCAACCTTTGGTGAATCTTCAAAATGTGTTTCTGTCCCTACATCATACTAAACTTGGACTCATGAATGAACAAAGATTGTTATGGTTTCAGATATCTGTCTGAAAAGTTTCCAATAACCAGTGAAGGAAAAGTGAAATTAAGTATCTTTGTTGGGCTGCAGATTCGGGAAATGCTGATGTATAATGATTTTGAAACAGTACTCAATCAGAAAGAACTTGCTGCTTGGAAATCATTCAAACCGGTTGTCAGAAGTTCTTAGGGAATCACAGAGATGAAAACTATGCTGTGATGATTGATGATATCCTCGACAACTACAGGAAAATGGGGTTTAGGATGTCACTAAAGATGTACTTCTTTACTCCCATTTAGATTTCTTTCCAAATGATTTAGATGCAGTGAGCAATAAGCATTGTGAGTGTTTCCACCAAGATATTTTAACAATAGAACAGCGATATCAGGGAAAATGGAATCCTGCGATGACGGGTGATTACTGTTGGTTTTTACAGCATGAAACTGAGAACATGCACAAAAGGCGCAACAAGTCAAGCAGATTTTTTTAACAAAAAATAATACCAAGATGAAAGTTTGAACATAGCCTGAATGTATTTTTAGTACTGTTGCGTCAGCGAAGTCACATGACTAGTGTCACGCCACGTTTCTAGAACTATCCTGTACCTTGGCGAATGCTCT